CTATGAAAGGCTTACTGTGGGCAGAGCCCTGTATTTTTTACAGTTCTTCTCTGCTAAACGAGACATGTACTAAATCACCAGGCAGACCTGGAACTGAGAACCTGAATAACATCTGGAGAATAAGAGCTTAGGGTAACAAACTTTTAAAAACTTGTTGATAGGAGCACCAGTCTGTGCATTTTTATTAATTTATTTGACTCTTATCAATTAACATTACCTGGAGGTTTAAAAACAAAACAAAACAAAACTCACTACAGTGGTAAAATATTAAAATACTATTTCTCCTCATTCTCTTTTAGTTTCTATGAGTAGCCCACAATTTTATTCTACATAAAATTCTCACCAAAGAAGCCACTCATTAACAAGCAGAAATTCTGACATTTTGAAACCCAGCTGACTCTCCATGCCAAACAGATGTATCTAAATAAGCCAAAATCAACCTGTTGTTTTTCTGTTACTGTTTAGGGGACAAAGATGAACGTAAAGGTGTTTCAATTTTAAATAACCAAAACACCAAGATAGAAAGCCTCACCCAGTAGATAGTATATATATACCTGGAATTTCATGATAGGTCCCCAGGCTGAGCTGCCACTCTCTTGGCCTACACACTCTCCAAGCCAAAATGGTGGGATGTTACTCCTCCAACTTACCTTTTCGATTCATCATCTGCACTACAGCTTGAGTGATTTAAAATGCAATCTACTCATGCTTCTGCTCATCTAAAAATTATTCAGAATCTCCTTATTGCCTTTAGGAGAAAGTCAAAGTTTCCATCATACAGGTAGCTCTCCATGAGCTGGCTCTGTGTGTCTCCTGGCATCCTGTCTCCCTTGCTGCACCAGCCTGTCATTGCCCCTCCTCCTCTTGACCTCATCTCTCAAGGCCACACTTCTACAGTTCTGATGACGTCTGACTCTTTCTCTTTTTCTCCCATCTCCTCCTCTGTTACTTCTGGAACTTTTTGTATGCTGTTTCCTTTCTGATTCTAGTTGAAACACTATTCCTTCTACTTTGTTTAGCTAACATGTGCTTATTCTTCGAGTCTCATCTCAGACTTTACTTTCTGCAAATACCTTTTCTTGACTCTTGAAGTCCAGATTAACAGAAAAAAAAAAAAAAAAAAAAAAAAAAAAAAAAAAAAAAAAAAAAAAAAAAAAAACCCGTGATAGGTAAAACCCTACTGGAATCTTCAACCCCAATTCTAACCCTAAGAAAAGTATTGCATGAAATATCAATGAAAGGAAAATCTCTACATCACCTTTGATGTTAAGTTGACATCTCCTCAAACATGATCTCAGTTCTTAAAGTCAACATACCAAGTACTGCCTTTAGTACTCACCCACACAATTCAGTTTGGGTCTCCTAATCTTCAAGTGCTTTGATACCAAAAAAATCTAGGAATTATTACTTTTTAAAATGCCCTGTTTAAAATGTCACACTAACTACATTTTAAGGAAACATACATCTTGTTTTGAAAGCCCTTCACTTTAAGAAAATCAGAATGTTCACTGCAGCACTGTTTACAATAGCAAAGACTTGGAACCAACCCAAATGCCCATTGATGATAGACTGGACAGGGAAAATGTGGCATATATACACCACAGAATACTATGCAGCCATAAAAAACAATGAGTTCATGTCCTTTGTAGGGACATGGATGAACCTGGAAACCATCATTCTCAGCAAACTGACACAAGAACAGAAAATCAAACACTGCATGTTCTCACTCATAGGCAGGTGTTGAACAATGAGAACACATGGACACAGGGAGGGGGCCACCACACATTGGGATCTGTGGGGGGATCTAGGGGAGGGATAGTGGGGGGTGGGGGGTTGGGGAGGGATAACATGTGGAGAAATGTCAGATATAGGTGATGGGGAGGAAGGCCACAAACCACATTGCCATGTATGTACCTATGCAACAACCTTGCATGTTCTTCACATGTATCCCCAAACCTAAAATGCAATAATATATATATATATATGTGTGTGTGTGTGTGTGTGTGTGTGTGTGTGTGTGTGTGTGTGTATACACACACATATATATAAAGAAAATCAGAAAGAGATCATGGTTGAAGATAATTCATTTGCAGTACCTCTAATACCTTGTAATTTGAGAGAGTCCTGGGTTATTTTAGAGAAACACTTGTAACAGAGTAAGTAAATTTGGAGATCACTGAATGTAAAATTGCACATAAAATAAAAACAGAGCTCTGATGTATTTAACTGGGAATGTCCAGGTAGGAAGCACAGGCCAGGTAAGAAGCACTTTACGTACATCAATGCCTCCCTCACTAGCCTCTGGTTATATGAAAATTGCTGGAATCTAAATGCTTAAAATGGTGTTTGCTACCTTTTTTTTTATAACCTGCTGTGAAAGGGGGGTCAGGAAGGAAACCATTTTTAAATGATGATCAAATGAAAGAATATGATCTGAGAAATGCAAACAAAAACAAGTAGAAAGACCAATCTTGCTTCAGAGAGAAAACATTTCATAGGAAATAAGCCCCAAGGAGAGTGGCCAATTCCAGTCCTGTACAGATCTGGCAAGACTTGAAGGGGTTCTAAAGAGGAGGGATTAAGATTGAGGTATGACATTGGACATAAAGAGCGAAGATGATTGGAGCATAAGTCCCATCCATCGAAAAGTGCTTGAAATTAGGCAGGGAAAACCAGGCCTAGACATGAGTAATGAGACTCAGGAACATAGATAGCTTGGCAAGCCTCCACACTAAACATCAGAAGGGCCAGAGGATGGAGCTCACTTTGGGGAATACTGGGAGAATGAAATGCGACCACAGACAAAAGACTGTAGCCTCTAGGAGGAGAAGGAATTAGGAGGTTGGCACTGTGTAGCCCTCTGCTGGCCTTCAGGTGTTTCAGCCCTAGGCGCCAAGGTATAATAAAGCCTGAGCCTCTTAGCATTCTCCTGAAACTTTCTGAGTTCAAGAGTGGAAGGAGGGATGGCTCTGGAAGGGTTATACACGCTAAAGGCCCCTCTGATTATTCCAGGACTGAAAAAGAGTCCACCAATCTAGCTCAGTTCCACATTCTTTCTTTGGGCATTGCAGTGTATGAGAAATGCAGGAAGCATGCTTTGCTCTTGATTTTACTGCATTTAAACTCTAAGTAGGGTAATGCCAATGCTATCATTCTATATCTGCATTTAGATAGAAAAACAAATCAAAATGGGATGCCACCGCCAAAACTTAGCCAATTATCCTCCTTTCTACTCATCTTCTCTGGGAAAAGATGGAAGGCAGAGAAAAGGAAAGAAGAGAGCTCTGTATGATTTTTAGCATCCTCGAATGGAGACCTGAACTGCCTTCCAAAAAGTATCATGTCAGCTCCATTACAGAACTCCAGTATAAAATCGATGATGCCTATGGAAATCATACTAACTTCAGTGTTTTCATTTTTTTTTTCCTCTGGGAGATTCATTCTAAAATAAAAATTATTCCTAGGGTTTTTAGAAAATACCACTCCTGTCTCTCTAGTTCAATACACAAACCCTTCTAAAAGACACTGATGAAAATTAAAAAAGAAAACATACTCCCCCAAGAAGGAAGACACTCAAAAGAGAAGAAAACAGCAAGAGAATTGTGGCAATTTAAGTAGAGCAAATAACACAGATACCAATATTCTTTGAAGAAAGAAAACCTGTAAGCCAATATCTCCCTCTTTAACCAAATGACACCTGAATAGGGAAAAGGAAAACTTAACACCAGCCAGCAAGAGGGATTCAATCGACTTTGGTGATGAATGAGGGGTCATGGCTGTCATAGTCAGATTAGCTCCACAGTCTTAGATTTCATGCTCATTTACCAATAACTTGCTTCATGAATCTCTATAATACAAGTATAACTCAGTTATACTTGTATCTTGCATAACACATTTGCAGGTCTGTTGAAGAAATTTTAGTAGTAAATTTTCAGAAACTCACATATTTTCTCTGTCAATTATTAATGGGGATAAGTTAAATTATACTGAACTGTCAGAATAATTAGTAGTATATGACCAATATTTAAATTATTAAGCATTTTCTTTGCAAGGGAAACAGAACCTACAGAGAAATTGCATCCTTAAGATTTCTAACAGTTCTTTCGAATAGTACCCCCTCATGTATGTGGTGAATGAATGACAGAATGATGGATAAGAAAATATATTTAACTGTGCTGTTTTAGAAATCTAAACATTCTCATAATATAGTTTCAAGATATATTCATTCAGTTTGAATTTATAATATGGGGTTTCTCCTATAATTATTTTGTATTTATTATACAATATGAGGTTTATAATATGGGGTTTCTCATAATTATTTTGCATTTATGTATAACAGACAAGACTTTCTCAAGTAAGCTGTGTTTTCTAGACATAATTTCTAATATTTAAAAACTAAAAATGAGCCAGTTTTCCCATGTGCAATGGCAACCTTAGTACTTCAATATTAAGTCCCATTCCATTTCCATCCTCTCTAACTTTTATCGTACTGAAGTGCTAAAACACGACTGATATCTGGAAGTTAGGTATGGTGTCAGGAGCAAAAGTTTGGTGGAAGTCCATGAGGTTCCTTTTGTGTTAAACTAAAATGGGAGTAGAATTTAAACATTGTGAAATTATATGGTATTTCATTTTTATTCTATAAGTGTTTTGTTTCAAATATTTAAAAGCAAAGACCAAGATGATATTGCATATAGAAGCTAAGCCCAGGTTCATACAAACATTTTAAACTTTCCTGCAGCACAAAAATTATACCAAGAAAATGACAAATATTATATTACTAGGTTACTGTCTTCCAGCCACCCACAATAAATCTCAGATTGCCATTTTAAAAAGTATCATGGGAAAAACAGAAGAAGAAATAGTGTTTTAGTACCTCATGAAAAAAAAAAAGTAAAATATTAACTTGTGAGTGCCCAACTTCCCTAATTTGATTGAAGGCCAAGATGCCACAGTGAAAGCAAAGTGGAGGTTTGCCCATTAATTATCTAAGTAATTACCTTAAATGTCTGCTTTGCTTTGGCTGTGGAGATATAGTCACAACCATGAAGACCCTACTGAAACAAGAAGATATGAAGTTCATAAAATGCTCTCCATCTGCAATGAAGAAAGGTACATGAACGCCACCTAAAAATGCAAATTGTGATCTTTTGTGACAAGACCAAAGAAAAGCTTTTTGAACGACGATGAGAATAACTATTTCTATATTTTCCATATTTTCTAGTGAAGTTTCATTGCATAGTAATCCTCATTAAATGGTACTTGAGGCATGTACACTCTGAGAATCTCAGGCTACATTGGCTGTAGGCAGTTTGAAATACATATGTTAGAATTATCTCTCTTCTGGGGTTTTAGTCACCTGTTCCAAAATAAAAGATGCCTGTAAGAAAATATTTTTTGCTTAAGAAGACAGATATCAAGTCTGTGTCTCAATTCTGTAGGAGAAACATATCAGACTCTAGAGAATGTCTAATAAAGTCCTAGAGAAAATTGTTAAGTAAATGAAATATTTAATTTCAGTGTAAAACTTTCTACTTTGGGGGAATATCCTACCACATTGTTCTCAGTTTCCACTGACCTCTCTCATGTTGGCCCCTTGCTTCCTGTCTAGGACCTACCACTATATTATGAAAGTAATGGCCCTACCATTACTATTTATTTATTTATTTAATCTAAGTTTTACTTAAGTTCCGGAGTACCTGTACAGAAAGTACAGGTTTGTTACATAGGTATACGTGTGCCATGGTATTTTGCTGTACCTATGAAGCTGTCACCTAGGTTTTAAGCCCTGCATGCATTGGCTATTCGTCCTGATGCTCTTCCTCACCTCACCTTCCTCCCTCCCACAGGCCCCAGTGTGTGTTGTTCCCTTCCCTGTGTCCATAAGTTCTCATTGTTCAACTTCTACTTATGAGTGAGAACATGTGGTGTTTGGTTTTCTGTTCCTGTGTTAGTTTGCTGAGGATGATGGCTTCCAGCTTCATCCCCAGCCCTGCAAAGGACATGAACTCATTCCTTTTTATTGCTGCATAATATTCCATGCCTACTATTAATTTCGATGGCAAAAACTGCAATTACTGTTGCACCAACCTAAACTTTACCCTTAGAAAGTTATATTACACAGCAGGCACTCTTTTCTGCTCTACCACTTTCTTATGCTGTAATTAAAAATGTAATTCATGTAGCATCTTAAACTCACAATTAGAGAGATGAACTCACAATTAGAGATTCCAAACTCACAAAAAGACAGTTTATCTGAAAGGTAATTTGTTGACAGGCTTTCAATTGGAATCAAAGGATATGTTTCAGATTCTCTGGCTAAGCATCAGGATGACAAAGTCAAGTCATCTTAGGGAAAACTGTTTTCCCTCCCATTAATAGATAGTAACATGGCCATAATTTTTAAAATTTATGAGTTAAGGCTACCTTTCATCTTTAGAATATTTCATCTTCACTCTTCCTCTCTTGATGTATGTATATATGTTAACCATCAGATCTATGAATGCTGTACATGAGGGAAGATCCTGTTCATATCACTGGTGCTGAGATGTCAATTAAAATTCAGGTTCATCTGAAATTCCTTCAGTGCTTATTGGTGGATTTCTTTTTGTTACAACATGTTGGAGAAATACAGGAGATAAATAAGATCTTCAAGGTTGGACATGTTCTTCCTTACTGTGCTCCTTAGAATGCATGCCCTAGCTGCTTGTCATGTTGGCTGTAGGTTGTTAGGGAAATAGTAGACGGTATGAAGGTGTTTTGTAAACATCACCATGGGAGAGGAGTTTTGAGACATATATCTTGCAGTTCAAAGTGCCTCCTTGTGCAACGCTAAAGCCCACCTTAGCCCACGTCCTACCAGGTGGGCAGGAAATGTGATGTGAATAAAACTGTGTGCCATATGAGTTTTCTAATTTTTCTATTAGCCCTGGACCTCATTAGGAACATAAAGAGTTCGTTAATATCTTAGCATGATTACCAAAATAGAGTCCTGGACTGAGTAACATTAGCATGAATAACACATTGGTAGGTGATGACAAATTAATATGTTACTTTGTCTGCATGTTACAGTTCTGGAATAAAATTCTTAGAGACCTTATGCCTAATGCAAAAGTTAGAGACAAATTTGAAATCAGGCCTGTCGTTTATCTGCCTTTAAATGAGATATTAGAAACACCATTACATTGTCTCTGCATTCCCCCATATTCTATGATTTTAGGGGAAAAAATGACAAATGAACTATGTTGAGTGTGAAAGTTAGAGACTGGGAACCAAGGTATCAGTTTCTGAGAAAGGGAACTAATAAAACATTGGATAGGTTTAGCAACAACAACAGAAGGTCAAAAAGCCCATTATGAGGTGGTGTCTCAAATAATTTGTTCCCACAGAGTTTGTAGCCTTTAAAACTTGCCTGTAACATAAGCTAGATTATTAAGTACTCTGGGCTAGAGAGAAGGCTATTTTCCATAATTGGCAAGAGTGTTTGAAGGGTGAGGTATGAGTGTGGTGCTGGGAGATGAGAAGTTAGCATGAAAATCTGGGGTGTAAAAGAAAGCTACAATTGGGAGATGAATAACACCTTGATGCAGTGATTTCTTATGACTGGTGTTTGTTTAAAGAAACAGACAAAATACTGTTAAATAACTTGCCACAGTTTTTGTTGTTATTTTGTTGTTGTTGTTGTTTTAGTAACATCTGGAATTTCATTACAAAGAAAATGGAATGATATATCCTTAGAACAATATGCAACCCAAATTTTCACACAATGTTCCTCCCAAAACCTACATGTAGAGTTCCTTAAGGTCTTAGTCTGCTTCTAACAAGATGGCAGACTATACCATAAAACGATGTACACCCAGGCTTCCGATGAAAATGTTAATATACCATTTCAGTGAACTAAAAGCTTATGTGAATCACTAAACCTCTTGAGGCGGAAGGACTGGCCATTTAGATGACAGAGGTGCCTACCGGGTCCAGGACCAAGATTACGTGTTTTTCCTGAGGAGCTGAAATTCAAAATGTCAAGTATTAAAGGGAAATGCAAGGCAAGCTCTAAAATGACCAGTCATGTAGAAACCTAACTCACTAAGTTTATGAAAAAGATAGCACTAAATAAATGAGTCCAAATTTATCATAGTGAATCTTGTAACAGTAGCATTGCCACCATGCTTGACTATATTCAATACAAACTCAAAATGGCCACACTTGCAAAGCATATTTCTTAATGAATCTAGCTTCACCCTATTTATGCAACTTGAGCCCATGCGAGAACAACAGATAATTCATATGACAGTTATTTCACAGGATTTTTTCTTTGGCAGCTAGAAGACTTATTAGTTATTTAAGAACACCATACATTATGCATAATTATTTCATTTCTTTCCCCTTTGCAAAAACATTCATATATCAGTATAGAACATATAAACCAAGAAATATTCTTTTTAGGATGTCTACAAAAAGATAAAAGAAAAATTTTCGAACATTGTGAGTAGACATTATTATATATTGTTTACTTTGTAATTTAAGGAAAACAATGCCAAAATAAAAAACACAGTGAACAACTAAGTATTTTAATTTACATAAAGATTTTTTTTTAAAAAAAACTTCAAAAGGAAATTTTATTGTGTAAAGTTTAAAACATATAAATTCAGATATAAAAGTTTCAGCTGGGTCGGTGGCTCACATCTGTAATCCCAGTACTTTGGAAGGCCGAGGCAGGAGGATTACCTGAGGTCAGGAGTTTGAGCCCAGCCTGGCCAACATGGTGAAACCCC